TAATTAAATTGATAAAACGATAACAATAAATGATTAAAAAACGATAAGTATATTTTAAAATTACACAAAAATTTTTTAAAACAACCTGACCTCAACCCACAACCAATACTCTTTTCAATCTCTATAAAAGTAAACAAATTTCTAAAAACAATTATATTTAGTAATTCTTTAATACTTTAAAGTATAGATTAAATCATAAAAAGTTTTGTTATTTAAAACAAAATAGTATATTTTTAAGTTTAATTTATTTTTATAGATAATTTTATTGAGTTCCCTCTCATCGAGTAATTCAAACATGATATTTCTTGTTTTAGTTTATCAATATGTTAAGCATTCTCTGCGTAAAAATTGAGAAAATATTACAGAAGCAAACAACCCTTAAAAACAGGGTTTTTTAAATGAAGAGACAATAGATAGAGAAGAATGACAACAACAATCAAAGGATATGATTTTGACAAAGGGGTTAATTATGAAGAATTGGTTAATAGTTACGTTACAACTGGAATCCAATCAAGTAATGTTGGAAGGGCAATTAATATTATAAATAAAATGCTTACTTGGCAACCAAGTGAAGAAGAAAAGAAAGAATATGTTGAGGGAGATGAAAGGTTAAAACGTTGTACTATTTATCTTGGGTTTACATCTGAAATGATGACTTCAGGACTAAGAGATACATTTAGATATCTTGTAGAACATAAGTGTGTTGATTATATTGTTACAACAGCAGGGGCCATAGAGACCGATATTATGAAATGTTTTGGAAACATAAACATTGGAGATTTTTATATGAAACCTGAAGAGGTTCAAGGAGAAAGACATGGCAATATGATTATACCAAAAGAAATAATTGAGAAAACAAAACAATGGTTAAAAGAGTTTATCCTTGATATCCAAGAATGTCAAGACACTTCTATGCCATTCACTCCTTCTCAATTAATTACCATGATGGGTGAACGATTAAACGATACAACTTCAGTAATAACATGGGCAGCAAAAAATAATATTACTATCTTTTGTCCTGCATTAACAGATGGTTTATTTGGTACCTGTATTACTGAACTTAATGAAATTAATCCTGTAAGGTTGGTGGTTGATCTTGTTCAAGATCTTCGTCTAGTCAACTCATCAACTATCCATTCTGTAGAAACCGGTGTTATTATTCTTGGGGGTGGTGTAATGAAACACCATATCATGAATGCAAATTTAATGAGAAACGGAGCGGATTTTGCTGTATATATTAACACAGCTGGTGATTTTGATGGTTCAGATGCTAGTGCTCGTCCTGATGAAGCAGTTTCATGGGGTAAAATTAAAATAGAGTCAGAAAATGTTAAAGTCTTGGCTGAAGCCTCATTAGTTTTTCCACTAATAGTCTCAAAAACATTTGCGGTAACAAAGCGATTTGATGGTAAAATTTAGAACTACTAAAATCGGTCTAATTGTTCTTTTTAACTATTTTTGTCAATATTTTCGTTATATACAACAAATTTTTTTGAAGATAAAAGTAAAGTGATGAAAATGAATCTAATACTTTTAAAAAACCCTAGGGTTAGGACAACAGAACCCTTTTTGAGGAACAAACTTTTAATAAAAAAGAATATCCTTGTTGATAATGCAATTTGAACAAGTAATTTCTGCTCTTCAATCTCCAAATAACGAAGTGAGAAAACAAGCTGAACAAGTATATAATGAAGCACTCGAAAAAAATTCAGATGCATTTATACAATCTCATTTTGAAATGCTTAAGTCACAAGATGAAAATATTAGACATTATGTGTTAACAATTTTACATGTTTCATTAAGTAAAAATATTGAGCCAGTATTATTTGATCGATTAAATCAACAAATTCAAGCCACATTCTTTTCAACATTAATCGAAATTTTTAAGAATGAAACTAGTTTAAAGGTAGTTTCAATGCTTGCAGAAGTACTTTCAATTATTTGTATGTCTCTTTCAAAGAAAAAAGTTAATGTTAATCCTTATTTCAATACTACTATTGAATTAACTAAATCAGTAAATGAAGCACTTAGATTTTTAGGATATACTACAGTGTCTCAACTTATTCTTTTATTAGAACCACAAACACAAGTTGAAGCAACAGGAACTTTAGTACAACTTCTTAGCTCTGGAATGAATGACAATTCTCTTGTTGTGGCACTTGCTGCTCTTGATAGTTTTATTTCATGTGTACTAATGTACGATGATCCTGATTCTCCTCTTGGTGAGTCACAAAATAAGTTTATTGTTCTTATGCCTGTCAGTTTGCAATTGTTTGGTAAAGTTATGAATAGTGGTAACCTTAAATTAATTACTAAATCACTTTCAATTGTTGCACAGTTTGCTTATTACCAAAGG